AATCTACAGTTTGATACCAAACTTATTGACATAAATTCATGAAATAGTAGTTCAATAAAATTTTGAACGCGAGTCAACAAACGAGATGACCATCTCGAAAAGGTTAAAGAGAGTATGACAAATCATGGAAAAATATACTGTAACTCTAACAAATATTCACAAAGCACAAAATAAAATGAATCCTTGCAGAAAAACTGCAATGAAGTTCAAATACAGTAACAATATATAAAAATGATGAACCCTCTAATACTGATACTGTAAATACAACTATGAAATAGTACAAAAAATGGAAGATAAATTGTAAAATAACTCTTAAAGTGATCAACAACCATAAAATGAAATAAACCCTTTAAAAATATATTAAATAAAAAGAATATGACTGTAACAAATGCATATATGTATATACAACACTGAATTAAATGAAACATAAAAAATGCAGCTACATAATAATTACATCTTATAAAATGAAAGTGTACAAGATATTCTTACCTACCTCAACAGCAGTAAAAAGTCCAACTTACCTCACCCTCAATGTAACACCTGACAGCAGATCCTTTAAGGCTTTGGTGAATTGCCAGCCGGCTGCCATGGTGTTACTGATGATTTTTTGGGCCAGGCCAAGACTTGCCTGGTCTGAGGCAACTCCATCCATAGCTGGCACACTTCTTCCAACTGAAAAGATGGCAGTACAGTGAATTCTTTATTCCAGTCCATTTGCAGGCCACCTACTGGTAGTGCCAATTTAGTAATTAGATCTGCACAATCAGGGTAATCCCATGATAATAACCAATACTGCTTATCCTTTGTCTTAGAATCATTCCTTCCACTACCATATTGGTTGTTACATAAACAGTGCCTAGCTCCAGTAGGAAAGGAGTGGGGTTGAGTCTTGTTTCTAAACATGTGAACTGACTTGAATAAATAGACTTCAACCTATTCTTCTGACCATTATAATCTACTAAGTCTTTCATCATCCTTCTTTGGGATCACTTCCAGATGCAGTTTTAGTACTAGCTAGTTGCACATGTGGGTGTTACTTCTTCCTTTACTGGTTCACTTACAGCCTGCTTTATCATGCATCTTCAACTGCACCTTGTAATCAAAAAAATGTTCAGGAAAACTGTGTGCTTATAGAATATTAAAATTTGCATGACTGAAAATATTCAACCATAATAAAATAAAACACTAGGTACATCAAGTTTACATTTGATGTGATATTTAAGCAAGCATGTATGAAGTTTATTTACTAATGATAATTTCACTTATGCATAAATACTTCAGTGTGATCCAATCAAAATACCTTGCACTACTTTAACTAGAAACAACAGGTTCAAGTGTTTTTTTCTCAGATGTAGTGTGTTTGCCTCCATTATTCTTAAGCTTCCATGAAAATTCACTATCTGCTGAATATTTCAGTGTCAAAATTGAAACATACTACAAGTATTAATTAAAATAACAGGTGCACTGTAATTTCAAATAATGCCTTCCAGGTCAAACACTTAACCTTGTATCCAAGGTCTTATCATCCAGATCAGATCCTTTAACTCATATGAGATGTAATAGTTGTATTCATTGTGTAATTGATCCTTTTGTGTTATACAACACTCATGAATGTGTGTAAGACCACACATATATTTATATATGTATGTATATTGCTATACACATTTATCATCATTACGCATTATCACATATACTGACAACTTAAAACAGACTGCCTCCATGCAAGCTAGATCTCATTAACCATGGTACAGTAATATGCTGCTACTTATGGGCTTACAAACTCAATTCATTTTTCTTTTCAAGCAACGGTATTACCATCTTAGAAAAGTTGGCCACAAAGTAGTTTTAGTATGATGTAAAACCTAGGAAACTGCAGATTTCTCATTTAGTTGTAGGTTGAAGCCAATGCTACATACTTCCTATTTTAGCAAAAACCATAAGATTCCATTTATACCCACAATATGACTAAAACATCCCAATCCATATGCATGAATGCACATTTTAATGGTTTCAATTTCAAGCCTACCTTTTTGTTTTATATGGTGGAATACTATTTTCAGGTTCTAAAGCCACAGACTCAAACAGACAACAAAATAGCATGACATGAAACTTATACAAGCTATCTCTGCTCTCTTCATCCAGCTCGACTTGCCGGTATCCAAATACCAAGTTCAACATATAGAACCATCAGGCCCCTTCCAATGCAGCCAAACATTCATCTGTTAACTGTAGTGAAAAGATGTCAATGCAAGTTATTGCATTCATCCATCTAAAATAAGTGCAGGACCTGGGCATGTTTTTCTTCTTCCTTACAATCACTTTCCAACCAAATACTCTTTGAAGGCTATATGTTTCTCTTCTTTTAAGTCCACTGTACTTTAGCACTGGCTAAGTTCCGAGTCATCCAGGAAAGCCTCAGCAGTGGTTGTTTAATCAGACATGTGACATCTGTATCTGTATGATGCTGTTTGATTTTTGTTCAACCTAATTGGCCATCTGGTTCCACAAATACATCAGCATATTCAGCTAACAGACTACTGAGTTTATTCTAAATTGTCTCACAATTTTCATATAAGCTCATTACAAATTGCTTGCTTTTGGACATGACACACCAGATGCAACTCTAATGTGAGTGCTAACCTTGGTTACTTCAAAATTTTTCTCAATGCTGATGATCATTCCAACATGAAGCTGGATAATAAGTTATCTATAATTGCTGAACAACAGTGGGACTCATCCCTCCTCTGACAGATAACTGCCAAAGCTAATGCTGCTTGCTTTCTGGACAGAAAATTACTTATTTCATGTGTGGGCTGTATACCCACATTACCAGCACTGATACACTTGACTTTGTCTGTAGTAAACCATGGAACACTGCTTGTGCACATGGGGGTATTATGACTTCCTCTCCCACATAAACTTTGGCAGTCCATTGCTCCTAGGTCTGGTCTAGTCGACATTTATCTAACATCATTTCACCTATTACACAAATAAATTGACTGATAAGCTCCAACTTGCATCTACCTAAAGGATGCTGACACCAGAAGTTAACATTATTCTTACACTGAAAATCTATTTCCGATAGGTACTGACCTCCTTTCACGTAAAGCTGTCTTGATCTTCTTTATGCCCTCTAAGCATTGCTAAAAACTTTTCTTGCTCAATGCACCAGTCTATATACCCCATCAATTTCTTAACATGCACATATCATGTGAATACTCTCCACCAATAATATTGTGCCACCTATATTGGTGCAGCTAGCTATTCCCACTCAATCCTCACTTTCCAGAATTGGCAGGCTGTAAAAGAATAACACCGACATTTAAAAGAAAGGGTGGGAAGTACCTATCGCAAATACATTTTCAGTGTAAGAAAAATCTTAACTTTCAATATGGTCTTAACACTTCTCAACAACGCTAGAATCCCACATTGCAAAGGTGGATGCACCGGTGTAGATGCTCAACATTGAAACCAACCAGAATGCAACAACCCATAATGAACTCGTATGCTCTGAGACTAAACTGAAGCACGCATGTGGGGTACCACAATACATCTGGAACAGATGTGCTCTTCACCCTTGAAGGAAGAAATTAATCAGATACGGACAGAAAAAAAAAAGATGTGCACTAAACCAATTTGGTTGGTGAGGTGCAATCTATTGTAAAATATAAACTAAATGAGCAATGTAGATACTCAACTGGACAAACAAAGTTCCATAACTCGTCCTTGGTATTAGGAGGTTAAGGACTAAAACAGATAAAACAAATATATTGTAACATGAACATAGTGGCTAGGACATGTGGATGGTGTTACATATACTCACCAACCCCAACCACGAGTAAACAGAGTGTCATACGTCAAGCAAACGGAATTACGAAGAGGAAGTGAGCATTTGGCTAAAACCAGACAAACTCTCAAAACCACCATAGGAGCAAGAAGTACAACAAACCAAACCCGGCATTATAGGGTTATGGCATTGCCTCAACTCAACCATAAGAACAGAGCAAGATCTGTAACTGGTATTACGAGTAGAAATCATAACTCACCCAACTGTAAATGCAGGGAAGAGACATCCTGCAACTGGAATTAATGAGAAGAGGTGTCTCTACTTCACACAACCATAGGAACAGGGCAGTATCATCCCAAACCTGCTAGTGCAAGGAGAATCCCGTGTAAGCTGGTCCTGCTTCAACCAACAGCTGTCCACTTGAGAAAGAGCATCCAGGAGAAAATGGAAGGAGGTAAACCAGCTTTGCCTTCTTCTCACTGAGTGTATAATCATGAGTATGTATGGTAATGTAAAATTCTACAATGCACTCAACCTGGTCAACATGTTGTCATATAATTTATTGGTGAAAGTACTTGGAATATTCCTTCATATACCTTGTAGCATGTCACATAATTCTTCAAGTTTCTTTGCTGCCTCCTGACCTCCTCTTTATCCATGTAGGTCCAAATTATCTCAGACATGTTCAAATTTGAATTTGGACAGTGTGAGGCAGGAGCCAGTTTTCTAACTACCTGTTTCTTCTCCTGGTAAGTTTTTACCATGTTGATCACACGGTTAGGATTAATATATTGCTGAAACACAAATCCCTAGCCAATTAGGGTACATTCCTAATGGAATACTATAGTATATCAGGATCTGTCTGTACTTCTCCACTGTCACTGTGCCACAACTTTTTACTAAGTGTTCAATACAAATAAAGGCAATGTTACCCCAAAAGCTGCATAGTTTCAACCTAATGTATCTGAGTAGTTGTTTTATTTTGGTAGTGGTACTGTCACTGTTTAATTCTTTGAATAGACTTCTGTTTATTATTATTGAGCAACTCTTACTTGGATTCATCAATAACCAAATCCCCTTTGCCAGACCTGCTCATCCCACCAAACATGCTCACCTTTTCAACAGTGGGGGCATTATAATGTTATAATGTGATGGTCAATCCCATTATTCATTGGTAAAAGAGTGGCCCAAGAGTTGGCGATAGATGGTGATGACTAGCTGCCTTCCCTCTAGTCTTACACTGCTAACTTAGGGACGGCTAGTGCAGATAGCCCTTGTGTAGGTTTGCGTGAAATTAAAAAAACAAAAAACTCATCCCACTACTGCATTTCCACGACCCATATCAGCTTTTATGATTGCATGTACACAGCAAAGGCTTTCATACAGCCACATGTTCATTGAGACTACACTGAGCAAAATTATTTGTTTCTAATTTCGGGATGACTTAGACACCTGTATATGAAGCCAGGTTATCGGAACATCACGTATAATGCACAGAACATATCTTGAGATCACTGATGGTAAGATTGAGTGTTGTTCTTTGACTGGATTTGTTATTAATAGTTCACCAATCAAATGTGTAGTAAACATTCATTTTCGAACTTTTAAGTCTTATTTCATACTCAATATTTATAGTTTAATATGTTCTGAATATACCTAGTGTTTGCTTCATAAGTACATTTCTTTTTCTGAACTTCTACACAGCCTTAATTTTTGAGTTCTTACAATTTGAATTCCTGAAACTAAAGCCTAGTTTTTATCGAAGCAGCAATTCAAATTCTCATAAAACTACAATAATAATTTTGATTTTCAACATACTCTGTCTGAATGAACTGCATAATCATTCTGAGAAGAGGTTGTAAATTAGTTTTTTCCTCACCTAGTCATACTATGACGTACAAACTACATAAATTACCACTAGATTTCATGTGGAAGTTGTCTCATAAGAGTAATATTCCCAAATTAATTGTAATTCAATTTATTTTGACTTTTTTTTTTCCATAAAAAATATTGAAAGGCAGTTTATTAGAAACTCTTTCAGTGCTTGAAATATTACAGTTTGGCAATACTTTGACACCAAAGTTGTACCAAGAATATATGGAAGGTGTTAATAGTGTGATAGCTTTTTTTTTTTTTAAATATTAAAATATTATTACATTCAACTCTGGTGGATGATGTTCCTGATAAGCATAACTCAGTCAGAGCTGGGCTGATTTAGGTGTGGTCATTTTCAAATATTGTAATATCATTGGTGTAATCAGTTCAGATTTAAGTAATGTAACTAAACCAGACCCTTTTATGATGTGTTAATTGTGGTTCAAATTTTTTTTTTAAATTAAAATTTAATGAAAAGCTTTGATTTTCAGTATCAGTAAATTTGACAGAGTATCTAATTTTATGTTAAACATATGTGCAATTGATAATAGTTCACCTGATTATAGACTATAAGTGCAGTTGAAATACTCATTCTTTTGTATCTCGAGTATCTAGTTTTATGTTAAACGTATGTGCAATTGATAATAGTTCACCTGATTATAGACTATAAGTGCAGTTGAAATACTCATTCTTTTGTATTTCGAGTATCTAGTTTTATGTTAAACGTATGTGCAATTGATAATAGTTCACCTGATTATAGACTACAAGTGCAGTTGAAATACTCGTTCTTTTGTATTTCGAGTATCTAGTTTTATGTTAAACGTGTGTGCAATTCATAATAGTTCATCTGATTATAGACTACAAGTGCAGTGGAAATACTCATTCTTTTGTATTTCATATAGATTATCACGACAACTACCACCTGGACGAGCATTTCTGTGTATGAATACCAGTGAACTGCCTCAAATTCTTCAACAAATTTTTATGTGTAGTATGCTGACAAATTGAACTCCAAAGCTTGGAAGTTCAGCACATATGATCCCAGGTTACTATAGCCCACTTAAAAGTTCTCTCTCTTGTTTACCAAGATATGTGTACAGTATAGTTTCTATTTAGTGTAAGAGTCAATTTATTAAAATGTAAATTTATATAAATACTGACTACACTTTAGCTTGTTATTTTATACAAGTACTACAATCAATAATCACAGGTGATGTTGATGTACCATAAATTATGGAAATATGTAGGCATAATTTAAAATAAATTCTTCAAGGTGTTTTAAGTGATATGTCAATCACTAGTTTGTCTTTTATTATTTTTTAATCTATTAACCCTCTCAGGATGGGCATCTATATTTTATAGAACCTTGTAACCACCAGGTAACCATGGTGGTATACTTATTGTATCTTAACAAAATTTGGCAAGCTTTCACTTAACTTCAAAAAAACTTTCATAAACAAAAAAAAACAGAATTTTTAATTAAGTACTTTTATTAAACTTTATGGTGTCATAGTGTTGACTGCTACAAGTGCAAAGTGAATTTCATATTAAGATTAGGAAAATTTTCTTCATCTGAAATTTTTCAAATGTCATTTCCATAATCCCTCAAATCCCCTAAATAAATATCAGATGTTTTTTATTTATTTCGTAACCACCGAAAAAAAAATCGAAATAAATCTACATTACTCTTTTTTTCTTTCTAGAATGACTTCAAATTGTAACATGAAACTTGATTTGTTTATCCTAAATAGCTTAAATATTGTAACAGAATACATCTGTTTATACTTAAATTTTATAGTTTTATTGCTCTTTGAACCATGTCTAAATTAATATTCCCACCATAAAATTTTAAATTACTTGGTGAAAGTGCAGCTCATGTTACCCTATCAAGTTACATAACACATGAGCTACTAGTAAACATACCTCGTGAAAAATTTTATTATTATTGTTAAACATTCCTAGAAAGTGAGATGTACATCTGATATGACTTCAAGTAACACAATTTTTACATGTATCATGGGCGTATGTGTTCCTAAAAAATTTCAATCCACTCTTGAATAACTTTTATTAAAGGGTGTAACATGGCTTTTTTAACTACAGTGTAGTATACAAAACATGCATGAAAACACAATGTGTTTACCCTCTCTGCCATCTTGATGAGGCAACATTGCTTCACACACATATTGATAGTACAGTAAATGGTGGACACTATGCCTGGCAAAGTTGTCAGGGCTCAGTTGAATTGACCTACCACGTGATATTTTTCTCGTGAGAATGAAGCTTGTAACCAAACAAGATTGAAGGCTAATAAAATTATGCTTTGTCAGAGTGATGATGATGATATAGTAAGTAATTTGTGTTAAATTTCATACTTATTGGAGGGGTGGTAAATAAATTAGAGAAGAGGGGATGGCTAGAGAAATAAAATGTCACATTTCTCACACTAGAGGAAATTCAGGATTTTTTAAAATATTGCCTTATAAAATTATTAACTTAAGTCTTATATACTGTTAAAATATGGATTATTAGCTATGATGTTATGCTATACTAATTGGTATAAAATACACAAAAAGTAGTTAAATTAAATTTTTAATATAACTTACTAAAGCCCTTGTGACATCCACAATAAAGGATGCCTTGGCAGAGAGGGTTAACACTCTAGTAATGAAACAAAGTGACACTGTTTCAAAAATACTGGTATTAATTGGTAAACGCTACACCTGGAAAAATAGCCAACGACGTTGGAACTCTTTAGCAACAAAACAACAAGGCATCATTGGTGAATGCTCTAATAATGAGAAAATGCAGAGTGATGCAATGTATAACAGAGACCCAGTGTACTTAATCTAACCTAAAAAGTTTTAATTACTTTTATAATACTAAGTAAAAAATACACATGAAAAACAAGAAAGGTACTTACTTGGGTCTTCTTATTTTTGCTGTTGATGACACTTAATCCTATTTTTTTTATACTAATGGTACTACTGCAATTAGAATAATAACATGCAAAAACAGAATATGTCCCATAACTATCACAATTATTCTGGCTTTCTAACTATGCAACAAGAGCATTTAGAAATTTAGTTAAGCTCGTAGATGTATTTCCCTTGGAAATCAAGCTTGATCTGGAAGCAAAACTGACAACCATCTCCTCAGAAAACACTGTAATCTAATAGGTCATTCGATAAACTGAAACTTTGGCTTTCTATTGGTTAGAAATAATATAGTGTTAAGAAAGAACTACTGACAATTTGTGAAAGCGAGGATTTGACAGGTGGGCACAGCAGGAGGGGTCTCATTTATTAGCTTATGGCTCCGAAACCAAAGATTGAAAAATATAAAAATTGTTTTGGCTGAGCAATAGCTACGAGTAATATACAATGAATTCCACACTTCTCTGACAAGAAAAGGTAAGACATAAGTAACAAACTTCACAGCTCTCATAATAGGGGAGATTGAGGTTTTTTAAATATTTCCTTATAAAATTAAGAACTTAAATAATGTTAAAATTTGATTTATTAACTAAGTTTGATGCAAAACTTATTCATGTATATTGATAATAAAGTAGGTTAATTAAGTTTTGAATGTAACTATGTGAAAGGTTGTGATATGCACACTTAACCTAACTGATGTGAAAAGGTTAAAAAAGCTACTTTATGTAATTAATAATTTAATATTAAAGGATAAAATTGTTGATAACCACAAACTTGTAGATATATTTCCCTACTTTACACAGTGTAATTAGTAAACTAATATTAAAGGTAAAGTCATTGATAACCATAAAAGCAGCATATTCTAAAATACCCCCAGCTTTACATGAATAATTATTGATTTAATGTGAATGATTGAAATTATTTGATAACTGTAAAAATATCCCATACTGTACATATGATTTCATATTAATTGATGAAGTCACTGTTGCCTGTAAAAATCTCTCTTACTGTACATGATGCAATTTCATCTGATCAACCTTGCCGGAAAATTTGCCTCCTTCACCTTATTCCACACCTATCTCACCTACCCAGTGAATGTCAATATCTACATGGAAATTGCTCTAAAAGGGGTCAGAGTAAGTGCACCTCATGCTGTATCAATATCCACATTCGCCAGCAATCTTAAACCACAGTATAAAAGGGCAGAAGAGGTCACACAAACCTGAACCTCCCTGGTCTTTAAAGACCTAAATCCAGATGCAGAATAAGCAAGCAAACATTACTCCACCATCCAGCAAAACTACTCAAATCCTGAGCAAATAACACTGAACAATCCCAGTCAATCCCATTATTCATTGGTAAAAGAGTGGCCCAAGAGTTGGCGATAGATGGTGATGACTAGCTGCCTTCCCTCTAGTCTTACACTGCTAAATTAGGGACGGCTAGCGCAGATAGCCCTCGTGTAGCTTTGTGCGAAATTCAAAACAAACAAACTTGAGTGCAACAAGATGTTATATAGGAGTTCAAAAACATGCATGTTTTTCTAATTAGCCAACAAAAAAAAATTGTTTAGTACAATGCATAGAACTTTATTAGCTACTGAAATCTCACAGAGAACCAGTACTGGTAAAATAAAATATGCATTAAACCTCCACTAGGAATTTCACCAGTCACCTTGTGTATGCTATGAAGCAAAATTGCTGGGAACAGTTCATCAGTATTAGGTGGGTGTGCTTTCAACTAAATGCCTGCTTCTGAAATGAAAGCTTCATGCCAGTTCAAGTACAGCATCCATGTATATCAGACATCTAACTTTTAGTGTTGACAAATCAGCAGTTATTCTATACTCATTATTCGATTGATTTTTATTTTTAATACAAGTATGTAACTTACTTTGATCAGAAATTTATTATTAATACAATATTTATTTGGCATTATCATGCTATCAGTACAAGCTTCCAAATTTGTTACCAGTACGTCCCAGTTTCATTAGGCACTATATCGGCAGTAAAAACTTACCCATTCCACCCTGTAATGTTCATAATATACTTGCTATGCTGGGCAGTGTCATCCTGACAATAGGTCAAAAATATTTGCTGTTGCTTAAACAGTTAAGTCTTGTACCTTTTTATGTCAGAAATTTATACTGATGTGGATGGTCTGCCTACAATTTTGTGGGACTTAACATCTCCATCAAGATCGAAAAACATTCTGATTTCCTCTGTATAATGTCTAATATTTTAAGCACCACATTTTAGATGCCTATCCAATCCAAGTACCAACTCGTACCTTTAAAGTTTGAAATTCCCATTATAATAGCATGCATTTATTTAAATACTACTGGGTCTAGTTGTATTCACCTTGCTCATATTTTCTTTTAGCATCCATTCCTTAAGCCTCTAATATGCTTTTGATCAAAACACACAAATAATATTTTTTGTGCTTATAGAAACAATATTAACAGTGTCATACGTGTCACAATTTTCATTTAGGAAGCACATATTTTTATTCTTGATTAGAAAATGAATATACAAAATGTAAGTAATCACATTTTCATAGTTGGACAAAAATGGATGTCTTTACTCAATTCATTGTTAAATAAGCTACAATTATACAAGTACTTCAAAAAAAGTTTAAAGTTAAAAAAACTGAATATGTTCCTGGTACAGATTTTCATAGCTGAATATATCCTGTGAAGGTTTTTCTTTTAAAAATATGATGGTATTTTCTAGTTTTGAATGTAACTTCTGCCTAGTGATGTTAACAGTTCATTCATATTCAAAATGTAACAGTGCTTTGGGCATTTTAATAACCTACCTGACTATAAACCAAGCAGGACTGAACTTGAAAATATCCACAATGAGAGGCTACATAAAGTTCAATTTATTTATGCTTTTATCAGCCAGAACAGTAGCAAGAAAATATACATTTAAGAAAAAACCTACTAGACAAAGCTTTAAAACCAGAAGCTAAGATTATTGGGGAACAAAAAACTACCCATATAACATTAGCATTCAGATCTTTACAGTACAAAAAATGTATGATTTAAGTGAAATAACAAATGAGTTATGAATAAAAAAACTTTCTATACATGGTCACATTCAAATAAAAATGCTGTTATACAGTTGCCAAAAAAATACATACAAAAGAATCCAAAGCATTTCAAAATATATTTCTGTCAACATATTTCATATTTAAAAATATACGCACTTCTGTTGTACAACTGCACAATACATACTGCTGAAATATACCAAACTGAAAGAGCTTCACCTCTTTTTTTTAAATAAACTTTTGTAATAGAAAGCTTCTATTACATGCATCAATACAAATAAATACTGAAAAGTTCATTGTAAAATATTTTCAAAATGTTAATATACTAACAATTTAATATAAAAACAGTATATTTTTAAATGCTGTCTCTAGAAAGGATTATCTGTATTGCTGGTATTTTGTTTTGTGCTTAGTTCTAACATTAATAATCTTTTAATATTATCCCCTGAGTTAAAAAACTGCCACTTAATTTGCCAAGAAGCAAACTACCTTAACATCAACCACAGTTCCTAGAGTAAGGCACCACTCAAACATCACATGCTTTTCAATTGTTAACTTTAAGAAGGCACACATAACCTGTTTAAGAGACCTTTCTACAATAAGCAGATGAAACATCACAAATAATCTACTCTGCATCATACCTTAAAAGCTGGTGAAGTATATGGAGAAGAACTTAACTATATATATACCACGCGTAGTACTGTATGTAGAATGTACATTACATAAACCATGTGTAGTACCGTGGTTTAGGTAGCATACATTCTGAATCTGGTATTACATGTGATTTAAGTAGTGTACATTCTGAATCAGTGTAGTATCGGATACAGAATGTATACTACATAAAACACATTAGTACTTTATGTAGAATATACACAACGTAAACCATGTAATACTTCATGTAGAATATACACTACATAAACCATGTAATACTTCATGTAGAATGTACACAGCATAAACCAAGACAAAAATCAATGATATAGATCATCTTCCTTTTCATGATCCATAGCACACCTAAACCAGCTTCAGTGCTTTATACAGAAACTATGGTACATACTGTCTTTAGTATGTGACATCATATAGTATATCTTTACTAATTATGGAAGGTTTTCTTATACATACTAAAATTAACTAATGCTTTTTTATAACCTGGTGTGGGTGTTCCAAATAGAAACCATTTTTTCATGCTTCTACATGTTTCTTTTTTTTAATTGAAGGCATTGTAAGTTTACTTTTTGTTATTCAAAACAAGTACTGAAACCATATGATGAACAGGTACACTATTTGTATTTGGCACACAACTACACTTTCCATAAAAGAAAAACTTGAATTTTAGACATGGAATTAATAGCTTGTCTAACATTTTTTGTGCTAATATTGAACTTGAGGTCAGTTTTCAAAGAGATTATATTACGATCCTATAGCTGCTGATGAGGCTAGAAAAAAAAAATTATATATATATATATATATTTATATATCAAGAGTTGAAAAACTTACAAACCAAGTAAAGTCACTATACAAATACAAGCAGATTTTGTCTACAGCTATACAATATATACAGTCTAAAAGCAATCTGATGTATATTTCAAAATAAAATCAAATTTTTGTTCAGATAAAAACTCATGTAGGAAAGTTCAACATCTACTCTTCAAGCACCAGTATCCTGGTCTCCAGTATATATATGTCACAGTTTCATTTCCCACATAATGATGTGAGCTTCTTTTTTTTCATTCTGTTTTTCTCCAGCTCTCTTCCAGTTAATGTAACCACATCCACCCGTAACAGTCAAAACTGTTTTCTCTTGGTTGACAAGACGACTGGCTCGAGCAGAATACTTGCTAATGCAGGTTTCAGCTATTGGTGGTGGCCTTGTGTCTGCTGACGACAGTGATGTTGAAGAATGGTGGGACTTTAATGTAGAGATCTTCTTACTGTTAGTGGCTGTGGAACCTCCACCTCTTAAATTACCAGCTTGGTGAGGTTCACAGGCTGCTGATGAATCAGAATCTTCAGACACTGCCATATTGGAAAGGTCCCAAGAACGAGGACGTCCTGTCTTCTGTTTCAATCTAAAAAATAATGAAGACACATTCAAATGTTAGATTCACTAAAATACTGCTTTATACAGTCATTCCATTCTTATGTAGAATAGGATATTACAATATATCACACTATTTTTCTTTTTTAATTAAATCATTCAAGTTATGTAAGCTTTATAAATGCTCTCAAAAGGTAAGCAATTTTAACTTAGTAACTAGGCTAACAATAATTACATCTTTTCAAAAACAAAAAAAAATTTAAAATAAAACCCAGTCAAGAAATGCTCCACAGTAACAGAGAGTGGCAGAGCCACAATAACAGCTAGTGGACGTTACCATCAATTTAACAATGAATATGCTTCTTTATTTTAAGGATTTATTCCACTTATTGTTAAAATGTCACATTGTTTTATTTCTCAGTCAAGATATAATATGAAATATAGCACACTAAACCTATTTGAACTACTGACATTAAAAGGAAGTACTACAGTAAGCTATTTTTTCTAATTCTCATTCAAAATACTAGAACAAATAAGCATAAAAACCCTTCTATAAAAACACTGAAAAGTAATGCTTGAAAGT